GTGTGTGTGTGTGTGTGTGTGTGTGTGTGTGTGTGTGTGTGTGTGTGAAAGAGAGAGAGAGAGAGAGAGAGAGAGAGAGAGAAAGGAGGGTGAGGAGAGAAAGGGAGGGAGAGAGGGATGGAAGGAAAGGGAGAGAGAGATGGGGAGAAGGGGGAGGAGAGAGAGGGATCGGAAGAGAGAGAGAGAGAGAGAGAGAGAGAGAGAGAGAGAGAGAGAGAGAGAGAGAGCACAGTATGAGATAAGTCTGCTTTCTTCCTTTGCCAGCGATTTTTCTAAGGGCCAGGCTTGGACTTCACCTGAGGAAGCCCCAGAGCTGGTGGTTCTCCAAGATCTCTTCAGTGGCACCCACATGAAGCCTTCTCTGTCTTCTGGGGCTTCACAGCCCCAGAAAAACTGACCACTCTGCTGAGTGCCCCCCCCAGGAAGCCAGCCCTCATCCCTGGGCTGTTTAGAAGCCAGTAGCCATCCCACCACTGTTTAGAAGCAACAGTGCCTTCTAAACCCTCCAGGTTCTGCACCTGTGCAACCATCAGCTGAGATACATTCTGCATCCGTCACTCTGCTTCCCAGGGACCCTCGTCAGCTAGCCAGAGGTCTCCCAGCCGGCTGCTTTCCTGCATGCGTTGAGTGGCTTGTTTTCTTCTATGACCACAGGTAAGTAAGCAACTTATTCCCGAGGCTTAGACGAGAGGTGCTGAGCATGCTGGGGAGACCGTAGGTGTGAGCTCAGAAGGAAGTTAGCAACGTGTGAGCACTTAGGAAATGGTCATGTCTGAATACTAGAAGTCACCTGCTTCTGGGCAGAGTTCAGCCTCCTGGTTGACCTTGCTGTACTCCTTCAGAGCATTGGGAAAGTAGCGCTTTGGAGTGGCGATGGAGACTTCTGTCTTGTAGCGAATGTGTCCATTCTCATGTTACTTTGTTTATTCACTCGGTCATTCACTCGGTCAATATTCTACACTCTCATGTAAATCAGACTGACAGACCCTGGCTGGGTGGGAGGATTTACTGATCTGAAAGGTAGCAAGTCCTCACGGCTTGTGTGGGTCAAGGTTGGAGTTAGTTGACAGGGTACTGCATCCACTGATGAAGGTGTATGACCTTCAAGATTCCACCTGACCTTGAGCACTCCTGTTAAGCTCCTGTGATGAGCAGGTCACCGAGCAGAGAAGCCGTGGAAGCAAAGAGTATGTTCTTCATCTCAGGAACACGATAGCAAAGCGTTATTTGGGAAAATGAGCACCCGGCAGTGTTTCCTCTAACCTGGGGGTCTCGTTGGTGGAGAACTGGGACCGCCTGTGTGGTGCTGTGTGAGGGGTTTCTGGATGGCACTCAGGAGGAAGAGCTAAGCGTGTTTGGGGGAAGAGGCAGCGTTTCTGGAAAGGGTAGACTGTGTTCTGATGAGTGAGTGGCTAAGAAGCAGTTGCAGTAGGAAGGCGGGCAGGGAAGAGGGTCCTAGTTGCATTGGTTTTAATAGAACTGGACCCAGGTAGATGAGCAAGGCTGCAAAGAGCCCCAGGGCAGTGAAGGGTGTACCAGACCCTGGCAAGCATCACCCCAGTGGGAACATTCACACCTGAGCCCTTTACGCTCGCAATAATTTTTGTTTGTATTTTCATTTGCGTGGACATCATTTACCCAGACTTAACGCACAGCGACATCACTCCGCTGTCATCCATTTCCCAGAACTGCTAATCCAGCCATGCTGGGGCTCACAGTCCAGAGCTTTTCGCTTTAAATATCTCTGTAACTAGTGGTGGAGGGTAACTCTAATTACTGCTGATTACCTGGAACAATTTCTCCTTTTGGTTTCCGGTGACAAATTAATGAAATGATCACAGTGGGCTAATTATAAAGGGTGGAGCTCGGAGGCAGCTCAAACACATCCTCTGGAGCCAACTGCATCCCATTTGCACATTGCTCCAGACGGCCCCTAACAGATATCCCTCCCTGGATCTCTAAACGGTACAACTTCAGCATGGCTGCACCCCTGGCCTCAGTAATAGGAGGGAGCAGATCTTTCTTCTGTGTGATACGCTCAGACCTCATTCTCGGAATTTGCAACCTTGATATCATTTGAAAGAGCCAGTGACCTGTGTACAGAGGTACATTCTAGAACTTTGGATCCTAATGAGCCCAGCTTCAGAATGAACACCTTGTCTCTCACAGACTCCAGTCTTGATATGACTTGGCAGTGATGGTCATAGCTTCAGGGTTTCTAGCACACAGTCAAGTACGGGTTGAGCTCTTACACAGTCACCGCTGTGGTTGATGGCATCACTATATAACTTAGAAGCAGAGAGATTGAGCTTGTTCCCAGTTTTATCATTTTTGAGCTCTGTGAACTCGCATTAAGTCTGTCGACTTCTCTGAGCAGCAGCCTTTTAATTACACACAGGAGAATTAGTATTCTTCCTCCATACTTTCCCGGGGCAAGGATACCATGAGGGGGGCAAGGGTGCCACAGCGTTTTGTGAACCCGAGGGACATCAGTGGAAGCTGTACTTAGGAAGACCTTCTAGGAGTTAGCATAAAGGGAGACCCTGGAATGGTCCTTTCCAGCACTTACCCAGCCTGCTTCCCAACATAAGAAGAAAACAGTGAGTTTTTATGTCCATAGGGTGCTGAATATAAGGGACTGAGGATTTTTTATTTTTTATTATTTTATGTGTATAACTGTTTTTTGGGCATGTATGTCTATGCACCACGTGCATGCCTGATTCATGTAGAAACCAGATGAGGAATCAGAACTAGGAACTAGGGTCACAGCCCATTGTAAACTGCTCGACGTAGGTGGGTGCTGGAAACTGAACCCACGTCTCAACCATTGAGCCAACTCTTTGGGTCCAGGAACTGAGTTTTGTAACTCCTCTTTGTAACCCCTGGCTGGTTATGACAGTGGAAGCGCGGCCTAAGTCACTCACACATTCAGGTGCACTGAAGGCCTGGTGGCCTTGAAGTCCCTCCCCCACGGTATAGAGGGAGGATGAGAGGAAAAGGACAAGCCACATGCTCCAGGTCTCTCAGCTTAACCCAGCTAACGTCTTTCTGGGGTGTTTGCACAGAATCAGATGTAAGGAAGAGCTTCCCAAGCCGGAGGAACTAGGGGCGTCCCAGATGTCTTTGGAGACAAACGAATACATCAGGCAACACACCAGGGCATGCGTGACTGGTAAGTTATCTAGAGCTTTTCTTCCTTGTGGTCCCTCTCTGTCTTCCAAATGACTTCGTTCTCTGTCCCTACTACTCAGTGTGCGCATTGCTGGCCTTGGCAAAGTGAGAGGTGGGGGAAAGAAATGAATAAATAAAGAAGAGGTCATTAGAGAGCTTGCCACGCAAGTGTGCAGACTGGAGTTCAGAATCCAGTGAACAGCCAGGCAGGTGTGGAGGCTGCTTATAACCCCACCCCTCAGCTGCAGAGACCTGCGACCCCCGAGGGCAAGCTAGATAGCTAGACTAACAGGAACTGGCAAGCCTCAGGTTCAGAGAGAGGCCCTGCTCCAATAAATAAAATGGAGATTGATTGTGGAAAACATCCAGTGTCAAACTCACACCTCCACATGGATATACACACGTGCATGCACACGAGCAATCATATATAATAAAATGCACACAGACACAAATGACACACAAGTTAAGTAACCAGGTTATAGCAGTAGGTATTTCTCCCAGCCACATTCCCTAGCCCCAGTGGCAGGCCATGGTCTTCAACTCTCCTGGCCTCTGTTCTCCTCGGGCACATTTTACAGAGTGAGCTGAGAACTTGGACTTCATTTCCAGATGCAAACTGGAAACAGGGCTTTGGAATCCTCATCCCAAGAAGGGAGTTCACAGCAGAATTCTGCTCCTCTCGGAGCCTCTGCCACCTTTGCCCCAGTTTTGGGGGCATGAGAGTTCAGATGTATTAAACCCAGTGAGATTACAGATGGACCCAGATGGACTTTTGCCATTGTGATAAAATACAGGTAACACAGTGTACCACACCCTCAGCCTATCGACAGCAACATGGTGTCCTGCCATCACCTGTCTCCAGAACCACTGATGCTCCAGACCGTAAAGACTAGTTTCTCCCTCCTACCCCACTCTAGGTTCTGTCTCTGGGAATCTGATGTCTCCAGGTGTCTCCTCCTAGAAGTGGGGTTACTCAGTGTTTGTCTCCCCGGGTCCATCTTATCTAAACTAGCATTCTGTACTCGGGGTTCAGCCCTGACACAGCAAAGCTTGGGATCATCCTTTTTTAAGGCTATATAGTCATTCCCTGTCTGCACAGATAATGTTTTTTTTTTCTTGTGTCTCTTGGGGACACGGGTTATTCCTCCTACCACGCAATTCACTCTGATCGCTTATATCCATCCAGATGACAGACTGGAGTCTACGTTCTATGTGAATTTTGAGCGAGGCCACATCCGTGAGGCTGGAGGAGGATACAGACAACACACGATGGGTGCTGATCCATTCTAGAAAGACCTTTCCATATTATGATGAGGGTAGAAAATTTGGAAAATGTAGAAAAGTGTCAAAACATTGTAAATGCCTCTAATCCTGACACCCAGAAGACCCCAGGTGGCTCCAGGCCCACGGGAGAAAGACAAAAAGATAAACACGCTGGTCCAGATCCTTTTCCCTGGAGGTGAAGGAGCTGGGGCTGGGGAAGCAGGTCCAGCTCTAGGCTGCTGCCACTCCAGAGGTGGCTGAGGATGGTGCCACGTGTGAGGGTGGCTTCCCTGTAGGGGGCGTTGTTCTGAAAGAATTTTCCAGAGCTGATATCTTTTGGAAATCACTAGCCTTTTCTGCCTGCTGCCTGGGACATTTGGGGAGGGCTCAGGACAAGGCCAAGGTCCTCTAAGAGAGAGAGCCTGTGTGTGGTCATGCTGTGTGCAATATAACACTGGCATAAAAGTAACCAATGACCGGGACAGTATTCTCCCAAGGGAACAGAGGGGAAATGAAAATGTCAAATTTTTAATTTTTTTTCAAGATCATAATGTAATCACATCATTTCTGCTTTCTCTTTCCTCACTCCAAACCTTCCCAAACACCTCCACCCCTTGTTCGTTTCCAAAGTCATGGCCTCTTTTAAAAAAATTGTTGATATATATTATATACATTCCTATATACATTAATACAACCTGCTTAGTCTGTGTAATGCTACTTATATGTATGTTTTCATGGCTGACCATTTGGCATCGGATAACTAACTGTTGTGCTCTTCCCGGGGAGACTATTTTTCCATCTCGGAATGTTCCTTAGCTGTCTGTAGATCTTTGTGTAGGGAGGAGACTTTACAGCGCTTCCCCATCCATGTTAGAGTGTCTATCGTGGTCACCCTTGTTCAGGAAGCCATGCTGGTGAGACTTCCCTAGGGTAGCTTCTAGGAGGCACAGTCTCACGTCAAACACCTGTTCCTCTAGCTGTTACAATCTCCCCACCCCCACTCACAATGGTCTCCAGCCTTAGGCGAAGGAGACAGATGGTCACAAATGTATCCACTGTACCTTCTGGGACCTGATGGTCTCTACATGTTGCAAAGAGAAATTTCCTTGATGAGGTATGGGCTAGACCTTGGAGGAGGATTGCCGGATCTGGTTGCGTAAAGAGGTTGGATGTGGTGTGGGAAGCTGAAAATCTCCATTTTTAAGGAGTCTCTAAATTGAAACATGTTGTAGAAGTCAATGCAGGTGGACCTTTCCCCCTAAACACATCCTGGAGCTGTCAATTATAATAGCAAATATTTTCCAGACACCACATCATGTTGACGCTTCCTCCGCTCACTCTTTCCCTACTTGGCACAGTCGCTTTGTATTGCCTCTGGGTCACAGTGTGTTGACCCTCACAGCATCAGCCCAGCGCCTGGCCCGCCTCTTCAGTGTTTTGGAGTCCACATATGGACACCTATGAGCCCACTGGACTATGTACCTGTTCTGGGAGGTTCCAGCTATCCCACAACTAAGCTGATTTGCCCTGGTGCTAGTGACATGGCCAGAAAGCAAAGTCATGTTTGCAGACTCTGGACGGGGTAACAAGGGCAATGCAGAGTAACGACAGCATGGAGAAGAGACTGCAGCTTGCTGTACTGCTAGATTCTCTGCTGGTTGTTTGGGACGGGACAGGACAGAGGATGAGGACCAGAGAACAGTAGCTTCTCAGCCCCGTTGGTAACCGTTCTGATTCCTGCATGGGCGTGGCCCCTTCTGTGTTTCTATGAATAAGCAACCTCTTATTCATGCCTTTTGAAGACATGGTTAAGTACACACAATAGGAAATTTACTGTTCATGGCATTCAGGGCTTTAAAAATGCTGTGCACTTGTCACTATTCTAAAACATTCCAGAATTTCCCAGTCCATTCACATCACTGTCAACAGGAAATCTCTTGTCTGTGCTAAGGGCCCGAGTGCTGTCTCCAGGCCATATACACACAGTACCCCATGTGAACATTCACATAGATAAACTCTGTGTGTGTGGGTGCACAGGTATGCACACATGTTTAGTGACCAAAGGCTGGCCTCAGATGTTCTTCAGACGTTATCACCTTTTACGTTATTTTATTTTTGAGATAAAGTCTCTCAGTGGGACTGGGGCTTACTGACTAGGTTTGGTTGGGTGACCAGCAAGTTCCAGAGGTCACCTGTCTCTACCTCCCCTGTGCTGGGATTACAAGTGCATGCCCCTACACCCAGCATTTTAAAATAGGAACTGGGGATCGAACTCAGATCCCTGTGCTTGCAAAGCAAGTACGTTACCAATTTAACCATCTCCTCAACCCCTAAATATGTGAACTTTTAAAGGCAATAATACTTAGTGCCATTGTGGTCATGTGATTGAGCACTGTGCCATACAAAATAATTCACTAGCTTAGGATTCTGCTTCCCTCCAACTCTCCTGTGTGAGACATTTTTAGCCATCATGAGTACCTGTCTTCCTCAGACCCAGGATCTTCCTGCCTCAGCTCCAGGTTCACCATCCTAGAGCCAACAGAGGATAGCCACATCTTCCCAACCAAAGAACATTTTTAAATAACAGTTTTTTTGAACTATAATTCATCTTGTCAAGCACAAGAGTTGGCCAATTTTATTGTATCCACCGAATTGTGCAACCATCACCACTATGTCATTCCAGAACCTTCTCCATATCCATACCCTGCCCCCAAAGACAGCCCATTGATCCTCAGGATTCATTCCCATTCCCTTCGGAACTCACTCCTCCACATCATGTTTCCAGATCCACCTGGCCTGGAACGGGCCCATCAACAAACTCCCGCAATACCTGGCTGACTTCTTTCACCTCGCATGTTTTTGAAGTCCATCCCGTCAATCACAAATGCCATGTTAGTACCTGATTTCTTCTCATGGCTGCCCTGTATGTCACTGGTTAGCTATGCCACCCTTTGCTCAGCTGTCCATTGCTGATGAGCATTTGTTTGCCTGTATCTTTGGGTCATTGTTCCCAGGGGCCGTAGTCTTCTGCTGACCGCCCTTTCCAGTGTGATTATCCCCACTTCACAGATGAGGAGTTGAGGCCACCATGGAAGGAATGTGGTCTCTGTGAAGGTCAGTCGTGTCTCAGCTTGTCAGCGATTGAGTGACTCTGGAGAAGAGGAGAAAGCTGTTCCTCCATGAGGCAGAGCAGCCAAGAAGCCCCGCACTCCAGGCAGGCCTGTTGACAGCCCTGCGCTCAGATTTCAAACCTTCCTGGAGTATGAAAGACAAAGACACTGCATGTCACATCACGTGACCTAAGAGTCCTCCCCTTCACTTATTCAATTGCAGAGGAGAGGCAGGGGCCTCACTGAAGCCAGCGCCAAGTGGTCCAAGGGAGACCAGAACCCTCCAAAGCCATGAGCCCCTCCCATCCTGCTCTCCAGTCCTGGATCCATCTTTCTCTCTGGGGTCTCCTTCTGATGCCAGCAGGTGAGTGGGTGCCACCACCACTATCACTAGGACTTCATCTTACCTTTGTGCACTCACAGATCACATGGTGGACTTTCCTGAAGGGCAAGTCACTTCATCTTCAGGGTTACATGGGGCACTGAAGGTCATTGCCCGGGTGGCCAGGACCACAGGGCGAAGAAGACAAGGGGGTATCTCAGCTCTATCATGAGCAGCTTTGTCATCTTGAATGCCCCCCAAACATTTTGATATTCTCGTCTACACAATGCAAATAGCATCATGGAACACTCAAGATTACTATGGGGACGAAGGAAGCTTGCACCCAGCACAAAGGCTGGGGCAGGTATGTGGGGACACACGTGGTGGCTGTGTTCATTGCCGTACTTTCTGTCCCAGCGGCTGCTGGCTGCCGGGGCTTTTTTTTTCTTTGTAAGGTGGTTCACTGCCTGCTCAGGCAGCAGAGCCCCAGAATGGGGAAGCGATTATGCAAAAGCACAGCGGAAAGGGCATGATATATTCCAGCAGACAGCTGCTTTGCCCAGCGGACGAGAACTGGTCAGAGCTGGCGATTTAAGAGCTCAGGCTGGTACCCTGCATGGGAGATGTTCTCATGGGCATCAGTAGCTTGTTGGAAGAGCGGATGGAAAAGATAAGTCTCACCATCAGCCAGGCTCACGTCAGCAGCTGAAGCCCCTCTCAGCCGCCCCTCAGCCCCATTGGGGCTCTTTGGTTCTGGCTGAGACTGGTTTCTAGGTCTGAGCTTTCTTACTTGGCTGTGGGAGCCCTCACTCCCTGACTCCTCACTTGAAATCAGGAAGGCCCTGCAAGCGCCTGCTGCTTGTATGGTGTCCTTGGGGCTGTATTAACCACTAATACGCACTCATCTATGGAATCCCCAATGGTGTTTGAGATGTACTTCCTGTTTGCATCCCCATACGATGATATATGATGTTGAGTCTATCTGCTTTGATGGACGATGGAAAGAAAGCCACGGATTCAGCTCCTCGGCCTCACGTAGACTCTTTTTCTCTTCTATTCCTATTCTGCAGTGTTGGCTCAGCGAGGCTCACGCACCCAGGCTGAGGACCGCCTGTTCAAACACCTGTTTGGAGGCTACAATCGCTGGGCACGGCCAGTACCCAATACCTCCGATGTGGTCATCGTGCGCTTTGGACTATCCATTGCCCAGCTTATAGATGTGGTGGGTCTGCCTGCTCACTCTGTGTTCCCTTGATCAGCCCCCAGCCCACTTGACTTTTCTCGTGGTCCTCGCTGGATTCAACTCAGTCCTTCTCCCAGCAGCCCTCAAAGCCACCCTAGCTACAGCTTGGAGCTACCTAGCTGGATTGACATGGTGCCTTCTTTCCCAAAGTCCTCCCTCATGTCCCAGGTGATCCTGAGGAATCTGAGTGCTGGTGACTGAGTCATGAGAGGTGTCTGGGCTTGAGTGTCCTGTGAGTGGGCCCCCAAAGTGCCTCCTATATACTCTGTTTTCTGGGCTAGTTTGTCAGTCACCCTAACTGCTGTTACTCTCTGTCTCTGCTACCCTAGGATGAGAAGAATCAAATGATGACCACCAATGTCTGGCTAAAACAGGTAAGCCTTCCCTTGTAGGAAATGACAGGAATATCCCCAGACCCCAGCCCCTTCTAGGACCTCACTATTGAGGGATCGTGGAGAAGCAAAATGCTGAATTCATGGGTCATGATCAGTAGTCTAACTTAAGGCTTGAGGTAATGTAGGATGCTCTCCTCGGGGGCTGATTTTGTATGGCCATGCTCTTAGTCCACTGTCCTTGTCACCCATAGCACCAAGAGACCCTTTTCTAGAAGCAAGCCTTTCACAGTCCTTGGTCCTGCAGGAAAGTTCACAGGCCAGCTTACGGAATTATTACCTGCTACCTCACAGAGCGAGGGGGTATCTAGATGTGGCCAGCTCCAAGACCCATCTCCTTCTATGTGTGTCTCAGAGGCTGTGCTGCCTGACAGATGACCCCAGAGCTCACAGACATAAAGCAATGACCCATTTACCATATCACATGCATTTGTGACCTGGCGCTTAGACAGCTTTCTTTGCTTTAAATAGTAACCAAGGTACCAGTGTCATCTGGGCCAGTTGGGGTTAGTCCATTGCTGTCAAAAATGGCTTCCCTTACATGTCTGTTCCTTACAGGGGTGTTTGGAAGGTTCTGAAAGGATGGGTTCCTAGCTATTCTGTGCACACCCTCAGGTTCCTTCCCTGGTGTCTCTGGCAGAAAAACTGATGGGTTCTCACTTGGTAGTTCAGGATTCCCATAGTAAAGGTCCCAAGAGACAGAAAGTAGACGCTGATAGTCACTTATGGCCCTAAAATGGTCCAGCCTCAACCTTATGCTATTCTACAGGCACAGTAAGTAAATGAACTGGAGTCAGGAGGAGATAAAGATACCATCTCTCCATGGAAGGAAAACTGAAGAGTCTGTGGAGTTCTGGGGTGGACTGCTGCTGGGCAGACTCAGGAACTAAGGCCTGATTAGAGCTGGAAGTTTACCTCACCTCTCCTGTCTGCCCAGCTAACCCCAAGGCCTTCAAGTGGAGATAGAGACGAACATGGGAAAGGGAAGCTAGCCCCTGCCCCCAGCTTCTTACTCTGGCCCCTTGGGTACCTGACTGGTCCTGTCTCAGAGGTTAGCATGCAGAAAACCACAAGGACAAAGATGGTGACATCTCTGAGTCATTCAAATAGATCTCTTGCTCTCTGTGGGTGTCTTGCGCACAACCCTCAACTCACTGGGTCCTGGGTGGTATCTGGTGTGTGATAGCTACTTCTAAATTAGATGCTTGGGTCAGAAGTTGCTCTGAGCCAATCGCTTCTGACATTGTTCATCCTAGAGTCATTAGAGGCTCTGTGCCTCATCTCTACAGATGAACCAATGGGAACCAGGTGAGGAAGAAGATTAGAAAGGTCTACAATCATGTCATGGAAGCGGGCAGGTCTAGAAACTAGGTCACCACAATTGTCCTGCTCACTTGTACCAGGGCTGGTACAGGAAGAGAGGAGGGAGCACTGTGGTAGATCCAGGACTTCCATGGTTGCCTGGGACTAGCCCAAGATGCTGGAGGAGTTACTAATCTTCTAGGAGCCTCAGTTTCCCCATATGTTGTAGACAGAAGTTTCTGTCCTATCTAGTACCACAGCCATTCAGTTCCAAACAAACACACAGAGGTTTATATCAATTATAAACTGTTTGTCCTATTGCTCAGACTTATTACTAACTAGCTCTTATGACTTAAATTCACCCATAATTCTTGTCTATGTTTAGCCATGTGGCTTGGTACCTTTTCTCAGCAAGGCATTCTTATCTAGCTTCCTCTGTGTCTGTCTGGGGACTGATTCTCTTCTGCCTTACCTCTTCCCAGAATTCTCCTAGTCTGGTTTCCCCACCTATACTTCCTGCCTGGCTGCTGGCCAATCAGCGTTTTATTAAACCAATATGAGTGACAAATGTTTACAGTGTACAAGAGCATTATCCCACAGCAAAGTGGGCGTGACTCATCTACCATATGCCTGTGACATTCAGATGCCCCCATTTGATGCCAGTGTCCCCAAATGTTGTATGAACCTGAAATCCTGAAAGATGAACTAAACAGAGAATGAGAGCTTCATCTTGGGAACCGAAGGGTATAGCTTAGTTTGGTACCATGTTTGCCTGGGAAGCCCTGGGTTTAATTCCCCAGCAACCATATAAGTTGGGTGTGGTGGCTCATGCTTGCAGTCCTAGTACTTGGGAGGTGGAGGCTGAGGAGCAGAAGTTCAAGGTCATTTTACCATCGCAGCAAGTTGGAGGTAAGCTTGGTTCCCTAAAACACCAATAAATAAAACAAACAAACAGCAACAAAACAAAACAAATCTGGTTTTAAAGCCCACTTGGACCCATTCTGCTGCAAGCATAGTTGGGACCTAGAGTATTCTCTTCCTGCTGGGAATCCAGAAATAGGAAGGTCTGTGGAGCATAGTTTGGAGGTCCCAGGTAAGCTCTTTGCTTCACTGTCTAATTCTGGCAGGCCCTGCGTTGAAAATGAGTGATGCTTAACAGATTTAAGAGGTGGGGAGTGTCAGAACAAGAACCAGAGGCAGGGCTAGAGTGCCAAGTGTGCTGGCACTGGCATCCTGGGATTCTGGCTACCAAAGTCAGCGCAAAACAGGCTGGTTATGGGAATGACTTGCCTGGTTCCCATGTCAGAGTTTTTCCCTGGGGGGCTAGGGAAGGGACGTGGGGGCCTCTGATCTCACAGCTTGCTGTAGGTTATCTTGAGGCTGCAGAGCCCTGATGCGACCCCTCCCCTGAGCAGGAGTGGAACGATTACAAACTGCGCTGGGACCCAGCTGAGTTTGGCAACGTCACCTCCCTCCGGGTCCCCTCAGAGATGATTTGGATCCCGGACATCGTCCTCTACAACAAGTAAGAAGCAATTTGTTAATTAAAATATATCTCAGGGATGGAGAGACGGCTCAGTGAGTAAGAGCCCTGGCTGTGAAAGCAAGAAAGATCTGAATTTGAACCCTCAGCAGCCACATAAAAAGGTGAAAATGTGTGTGTGTGTGTGTGTGCGTGTGTGTGTGTGTGTGTGTGTGTGTGTGTGTGTGAGAGAGAGAGAGAGAGAGAGAGAGAGAGAGGGAAAGAGAGAGCGCGGGGAAGACAAATGGATCCTAGAAACTCAAGGCCAGTCAGTTTAGCCAAAATGATGGGAAGTCTAAGAATCTTGAGATCCTGTTTCAAGAAATAAAAGCGGGCTGGGCACGCCTTTAATCCCAGTGCTCAGGAGGCAGAGGCAGGGAGACCTCTGAGTTCAAGGCCAGCCTTGTCTACAGAGTGAGTTCCAGGACAGCACTAGGGTCATACAAAGAAACCTTGTCTTGAAAACACACGTACATGCACACACACACACACACACACACACACACACACACACACACACACACAGAGGATGGAGCAAAATCAAGGAAAGGCACTTCACATCAGGCCCATATACACTCAATTATGCACCAGCACCCCCAGCTTGTGTGCATAATCCACATACATGCACACATGTGCACCAGCACCCCCACACATGTGTACATACACCACACACACTTATACATACATGCATAAACACACATGCATATAAACATGTGTGCATACATGTGCACATACACACATGCACACACACATGCACGCACACGCATTTTTCATAAAAGAAACTAAAACTTATTCTTTCCTTTCTGCTTAAGTAGGGTTTCACTGAGAAGCCCAGACGTTCACACTTACACAGCGGCAGTTTCTCCTGTTAATACACTCCTAAGGCCGGTCTCTGGGACACACTGCTACTTTCTTGAAATACAAATAGGCATGGAAGGTTCTCGGTGGGGACAGGCAGAGGTCACATAATTTTGGATAGCATAGTCAGTCACACCCCCACCGCTACCCCACGCTGGCAGTCAACCCTCAAGTAGCTGCTGTTTGCTATTGCTGCAGAGTCATGCCACCCCAGCCACCACACCCCATCTCTGCCCTGAGCTGGAACCTAGGGTCCTTCCAGTTTCTGCTTCTGAGAGACAGAAATCAGGAGCAAAGTCTGAGTGGCAGGCACATCTGGGTTTGCCAAAAAGATGTTGGTCACTGATCTCTGATGGCAACAAGAAGGTTTTCTGCTAGAACAAAGTCCAGTCCAAACTGCTGTGGCATTTAAAGTGTGTGCCCCACATACACTCCTCCCGGTTAATAGGCAAAAGGTTAATGAAATCACATGGTCTCCTGCCCCAAATGGGAGCCTGTTGCCATCTAGTGGTAGTTATGTGAAATGACCAAAATCATCGCTACAGGTTTGGGTTTCATGGAGGAATTAGGGATGGAGTTTAAAGACCAGAATACTGTTCCCATCCAAGGGGACTCAGACTGAAGTCCTGCTTGCCAGTCTCTTCCTGTGAACCCTTCTGCTTTTACACCCTTGTCTCGTCTCCCAGTTAAATCCTAGTGCCGTTGACAAGCCAAAGCCTTTTAAATGACTGCTTTCCCCACAACCCTGTTCAGTCCAGAGGAAGTCCTTCCAGGTCTCGGGAATGTTCCAAATGCCCTTTTGTACGGTGATGTCATGTGAATTCTTCTCATTTCCAGGTAGTTCCCCAAGGTCAGGGGTCATACTTTACATCCGCAGGTATAGGTCCTGGTATATGAAACTGAACTCAAATACTCTGCAGAATGCTCAGGTTGCAAGGAGTTTCCCCACTAGCCAAAATGTTAGGTCTCCTCTGGAAAGGAGCAGAAGAACTTGGTGCCAAAGCCAGGGCCCTCCCCTTCTGGAGCTGACTTCCCATTGACCAGTGAGGGAAAACCCTAAAAGGTCATTCCCCTAGTCAGGTATGGTGGGGCACACCTGCAACCCCAGAATTTAGGATACTGAGGCCAGAGGATCACAAACTCAAATTATGGACCAACCTGTGCATCCTAGTGAGACTGTCTCATAAAACAACAAAACCCAGAAGAACTTCAACACGCTAAATGGATAAAAATAGGGGATCAGACCACAAATGTGCCATGATTCAAAATATGTAAAATGGAAGTACAGTCTTTATGACAGTCAGTTATGTAAGTACAATGTCAAAATGGCAAAGATGATTATTGCTTAGTTCTTTAAAATTTTTGTTTCTGTAATTAAAACAATGGTATTTGCAGACGACTCAGGATACATCTGTCTGCAGCAGAGATGCACACACTCCATGAATAACCCTACTTAGCCAGTCAATGGCTGACTTTGTTTACCCCGTTACCCTGCTGCCAGTTTCCTGGAGGAGGTAGGTATGCAGGACCCAAGCTTGTCTCCTCTCCTAGTGCAGACGGGGAGTTTGCGGTGACCCACATGACCAAGGCCCACGTCTTCTTCACGGGCACCGTGCACTGGGTGCCCCCCGCTATCTACAAGAGCTCCTGCAGCATCGACGTGACCTTCTTCCCCTTCGACCAGCAGAACTGCAAGATGAAGTTTGGCTCCTGGACGTACGATAAGGCCAAGATTGACTTGGAGCAGATGGAGCAGACGGTGGACCTGAAGGAGTACTGGGAGAGCGGCGAGTGGGCCATCATCAACGCCACGGGCACCTATAACAGCAAGAAGTACGACTGCTGCGCCGAGATCTACCCTGACGTCACCTACTACTTCGTGATCCGCCGGCTGCCCCTGTTTTACACCATCAACCTCATCATCCCGTGCCTGCTCATCTCCTGCCTCACCGTGCTGGTCTTCTACCTGCCCTCCGAGTGCGGGGAGAAGATCACCCTGTGCATCTCGGTGCTGCTCTCGCTCACCGTCTTCCTGCTGCTCATCACGGAGATCATCCCGTCCACCTCGCTGGTCATCCCGCTCATCGGCGAATACCTGCTCTTCACCATGATCTTCGTCACCCTCTCCATCGTCATCACGGTCTTCGTGCTCAATGTACACCACCGTTCCCCCAGCACCCACAACATGCCCCGCTGGGTGAGGGGGGCCCTGCTCGGCCGGGTGCCCCAGTGGCTGATGATGAAGCGACCCCTGCCGCCGATGGAGTTCCACGACTCTCCCGGTCTGAAGCTCAACCCTGCTTATCACTGGCTAGAGACCAATATGGATGCGGAAGAAAGGGAGGAGACAGAGGAAGAGGAGGAAGATGAAAATATGTGTACGTGTGCAGGCTTCCCAGACGCTTCCATGGGTATCCTCTATGGCCATGGCAGCCTGCATCTGAGGGCCCTGGAGCCTGAGGCCAAGGCTCCCTCTCGGGATAGTGAGATCATGCTGTCCCCTCAGATACAGAAAGCACTAGAAGGTGTACACTACATTGCTGACCATCTGAGGTCTGAGGATGCCGACTCTTCGGTGAGTTGGGTTGAGGGAGGGATTCCCCACCCCCATGGGCGATTCTGCCAGCTTAGTAGGCAACAGTCCCGTCCTAGGGTGTCAGTTTCGATAACCCCTTCCTTCCTGCAAGCACCCCTCTTCCTCAGTCGTTGTCTGAGGAGTCTAGACTCAGTCATGAGAGAGATGCACTCTAGCTGGCGGTTAACTGGTCACTTCCTGGCAGATGGCAGAATACTACAGGGCACCCAACCTAACTGGGAGAGAGTGATTAGACACTGCCCAGCTCAGCGGCTGGTGCCCCTCTGCTTTGACTTTTGCTGATCAGCCTTTCTCAGGAGGAGGGGGTGGGAATGGGGCAGGGAGTCAGAGACAGAAACCAAGCACGAATGCATCAACTCAGTGCATCGCTGGCCTCCACCCTCCACTGCCATAGAAGGTCTCCTTCATCTGGATTCTGAGCAGTTTGTGACCTTACCCTAGTCACTAATAAGCCCTGCAGAGTCTCGGCTGAGCCAGGGTGACTCGCTTCCCCAGTGCTGCCTATAGTACTTAGTGTTCAGAACCTGCTTATGTATGTATGCCCTTACCGATCAAGCGAGGGATGAAAGACCTGAACTTACGATGGGGTGACCTTATTGAGTAGATGAGAACATTAATCGTTCATTTGTAAATGTCTAAGAATTTAGATCCTCTAGCTTGGCCCATGAGTGGAAGAGCCCCAGAACCCCAGCTCTTCCATGCTGGCCTGCCCTGGGCCACAAACTGCCTCTTTCTGTCCCCTGCAGGTGGGTGGAAAGGTAGCACAGGATTTGGGAGCTATGTAAATACTGTGAGTTACATTTAAATTCTTCTAATTTGGAGGGTCTATGCCCTCTTGGTGGCCCTAGCACCTCCTTGTGTCCCCTGGACTCCTATACCTGGGAGTACAGGACATAGGGAAGGATAGAATGGGACTCCCAGGGATGTGTCAGCCCTGAGCTAAGCCTGTTTCTCCCGCCACCCATCTCTATGCTTGGGATGACCTCAACTTCTCAAACCTTCAGTAGAGCTGATGACTGCTACCTCTATAGGGCTGGGCGTGGGAGGGACACATCCTCTTCCCAAAGCCTGGCTTTTGTTACTGTAAGCCCGATTCTAATTTCAGGTAAAGGAAGATTGGAAGTACGTGGCCATGGTGGTTGACCGGATATTCCTCTGGCTGTTCATTATTGTCTGCTTCCTGGGGACCATCGGGCTCTTCCTCCCTCCATTCTTGGCCGGGATGATTTGATCTCAAGTCCCTTGTGTTGGCTCCAAGATGACCTTGACAACTCTCTTCTGGCCTTCTCTAACTGGAGCCATCTCTAGAATGCTCTTTTGGGTCAATACCATCTGTCTGCAGAGTTTCTCTGAGGCTCCCAAACTAGTCTAGACTTTACACCCTCTTGGGGACAGCTCACAGTGATATTGTTGGGCTAAGTGCTGAGACCACTCAACATGACACCTGTTTAGAGATGCTGGGGAACCAGAAACGGTGAAGACATTTGCTCTACATTACATATTCCTGAAAGAGCAGCAGGAACCATATATGACCAAAGGATCAAACGAAGGGACATTGGGGTCAAGCCAGGGCAAAGGGAAGTAGAACACTGCCCCAAGGATGGGGACAAAGCAGTGCCTGATGCAGGAGAGCTCCAAACAGCACTCTGGATTCAGAGTGTCAGGGAGGACAAGTGGGGTGGGGAGTCTGGGAAGGCAAGTTGGGTATCTTTAATCCAGGCCTAGGAAGAAGTTCGGGGTCTTCTCTGAACCTGTCTCCGTGTGCTTTGTGAGGCAAATATCAGCAGGACAAGGCTATTTCCAGAAGGAGTGAGGCACAGAAGTCCTCAACCTGAGCGTCTTGACCCCTTTCGCATATCAGATATCCTACATATCAGATATTTGTATGATGATTCCTAACAGTAGCAAAATTATAGTTATTGAGTAGCAATGAAATGATTTTATGATGTGGGGTGTCACCACAACATAAGGAGTTTACTGTATTAAGGGTCGCAGCACTGGGAAGGTTGAGAACCACTGGCCTAGATGTCCTGGTGGATGCTTGAGGCAGAGGAATTGCGGCATGTAGCTGGGTGGAAGTGGCTGGGCTGTGATTCATCTGAAAGCACCGTTGAGCTCCCCGGTTGCCCTCAGCATCATGTCTCATGGTTCTGTGCCACAAAGAGGTCTAGTAATTGCTGCCAGGGATCATGGCCACCTTCAAATCATCAGTAATTCTTGCACTTGGAATATCACAAGGCCCTCCATTGCATAGGAGCCCAGGGGATCGGGCCTCTCACCACACTGTCCAGTCCCTGAGGAGTCAGACCTCGGAAGCTTACAGCAATGACATCCCTGATTGCTAATAGATATAGAGACCAAGGCAGGAAGCAGAGTAGGGCAAGCTTCTGGTTTCTCTTTCTCAGGGTGTTCTTCTGAATCCCATACACTGCGCTTTGACAGACCTAAGGGAAACCTGCTCACCAAAGGCCTCACCCGGACACCCTGCTATCAGTTCCCATGAGCCCCTACTCAGTCACCAATTCAGTTCTTGGCTCCTCCTTCCTCCAGTGACGGCAGCCTGCAGCCTCCATCCACCTGTTCTAAGCCCTCCGATGCGATTTCCTGACAGAAGATGCTTGCTGCACGTTTGTCCACATTTCCCATCCTCCTTGCACGCGAGTGAAATGCTGAAATAAAGCTGAGATGACTGCTCTCAAAAACTGTCATGCTTTCCTGTCACCTCAGCTGTCCCTGGCATCATCTAGTCCCCTCCAGTGTCTAGGTGGTGTGGGGACAGTCAGGGGAGAAGTGTCCCACAGAGGGACCGACACGGTGTCTTCCTGGAAAGCTTCCTTTTGGATGAGGTGCCACGACAGCCTACGTGGAGCAAAGGGCAGGAGGCCACCACCCACTTCTCATGGGCTGTGGTTCCAGGTCAGCTCCCTCCTACGAAGAGCAGATCCAATAAACGACACAGTCAAGCTAACCACAAAGCAAATGGCAATAATTTTAATTCAACCACAGATCAAAAAGAAGGGAGGTAAATGAATGTTCTCCACAAACGTACGAGGAAGGAAAGGAGCAGAGGTGAAAAGGGATGAGAGAAAAAGGGGAGTAAGAAAAGAGGGGAGAAGAAAAGAGGGAGAAGAGGAAAGCAGGAAGGGCTCAAAGTCCCGTTCTGACCTCCGACTCTCTGCTTCTTCCCTGAGGCGCTGGGTTTGATAAAAACACAGAGCCCTGCGGCCAGAATGGTTTGTTCCTGGACTAAGGCCCATGGCTGTCCGTCCAGGCCAAACTCACATTAAATAAATTCCAATGTACACTGTACAAGAGAGGCAGGACCAGCCCTCATCACACCAGCCTCTCTACAACAAAGCCCCTCTTTGTCCCCTCTGCATCAGGGGTCCCCTGAGGGATAAAGAGGAAGAGGAATTCTGGCTCTCAAATGTCCATGCAGAAAGCCATTATGGCTGGTAGGGGTACAACTGTGACCCCAATGGGACGCCAGCACCCAGGCTGGGGTAGAAGGGAGTGTCTGGCAGTAGTACCCCTATGAACTATGTCACCCCACCCTGTGTCTGTGCCCAGAGTCTTCTCTGTCCAGGTGCAGCCGGAGTAGCACAGTCTAGGGTGGGTGGGGGAAGGGGGACTCGTGCAAAGTGGTGAGGGGAGGACTCTTCTCAGCCTTCCCTAGAGGACCAAAGGCAAGGCGGGGAAGGTACACCATGACAGGTTGGGGCAGAAGGTGCAGGCAGGCAGCCCCTCTCTCCATCACTCCGCAGGTGGATGGGCCAGGTTGGCCAGAACCTTGGCTTGGTCCACGGCATCCAGCAAGTTCTTGGCATCCACAGCCAGGGTGTGGGAAGCTGTGAGCATCTGGCGCTTACAGTCCTCGCTCAGGGATGTCACAGCGTTCTGCTGAGCCAACCTCATCTTGTTGATGAGCTCTGCCAGGTCTTTGTTGAGCAGCTTCTGGGTCCCCTCGATCTGGCAGGCAAGCAGACAGGAGAGGTTGAATGAGGGATGGGTTGGAAAGGCAAAGGCATCAGAAGCTCCCTGGGAGCCAGTTACTCCCCAACCTGGACTGAATTCACCTCTCTGCACAGGCTAGAGTTGGTCTAGAAAGATCAATGCAGCAGACGCCCCAGACCCAAGCTAACCGTGCACCAGCCATGCCTGGACTGAACAGGGTAGTGCCCTCTATCACGGTGGCAATCCCTGCATGCTGGGCAGAAGTCAAATACATTCACCTACTTGGATGGATAATCTTGATTATCAAACTGATGGCATTTAGAGTGACCATGGAAGCAAACCACGGGGTGCATTGGTGAGGGATTTTCTAGATAGAAGTAAGAGCCACCCCAGATAGGGAAGAGCCCCCCCCCCCCAATGTGATGGCGCCATACCATGGGCTGAGGTCTGGAAATGAATAAACTGGAGAAAGTGAGTTGAGCACCAGCATTTACCATTCTGCCTTCCCGACTTAGCTGTGATGTGAGCAGCCACCTCACACTGCACTCACCGGACCTTCTCTACCACGATGAGCCAGATAAACCTTTCCTTTCTCTGGGCCTTTTCCTGGAGTATTTTGCCATGGCAATGAGAAAAGTAACCTACACACTATGCTTTGACTGTCTGTTGTCAATGTGAGAGACCAGATCCCATGTTTATTTACTTAACCATTGCATCGCTCGTGCTTAGCATGACGAATACACAGCACTAAAGCTATCTCTCTCATGAAATGAATGAGTGAATACATTGGTCATGGCAAACCCTCCCAGCAGACCTGCACTGGCTCTCAGGAGCCATCTCAGTCCTCTGGTAGCACCTGCCCTGCTGGGACGCCTTAGTAGGTCACTGTTGCCACCCAGAGGATAGCCAGCCCTTGTTCAGGTTAGCCTTAAGCAACCACAGGCAGTAGAGACCACAGGATAGGATGGGCCACAGAGATGACCGCTAGAAGTCAAGGCACCTATGCCCTGCATTTGTCTAGACATGGAACTGATCCGGTTCCCATGGCTACAGGAAGACGGCTGTGAAAACTTTGCATGTTCATTCTCGAACAGTCCTGGAGGTCAGAATCCTGACATGGGTCCCGTGGCGGGTCATCAACAGAGCTACGCTCCTGTTAGAGAGTCCAGGAGAGACTTCCTTGCTTTTTGCAGCTCCAAGGTTACACCTTCCTTAGCCGTGGCCCCTCTCCAGCACACGCATCCCTCTGACTTCAGCTGCTGCCCTCCCATTCCCTCAACTCTGACTCTGACCCCCTCCCCCTGGATACTCCATCATATCCTCTCCTTCCCAGAACCCTTAATTTTACCAGCTCAGTAAAGTTCCTTTTGCCATGTCAGATACTCTGCACGTGGGTCCCCAGTTTTTGGGACATTACTCTGCCTGCCACAGGCATCTTTTCCATCAGAGAACCAGGGCTTCTTGCCCTTGACTTTAGCAGTAATTTGCTATCTATGACATATCTGCCTTAACCTAAGTGCAGAGGCTTGCTAGGTAAGGGATGGTGGCGGAGGAGGGAGGAAGGAGTGCTCCTCCATACATCTACCCACTATGACTACTGGAGACCTATACTGGGGTTCTCACTGGGAACCAGAGCAGGTTCACTTCTCTGGTGCTAACCCCTCTGATGTTCTGCAGAGGCAACTGTTGGGAGAATCGAGGCTTCCCAGGGGGCCACAATAAGCCTCTGGAAGGAATTATGGCCAGGGACAGGAGGCGGCACAGGAGGCATGGCTGGGAACCAGGACACTCACCTCTGTTCTAGAAGATGACGGCAAAGAGGGCAAGAGATCGTCCACACTACCGATGAGTTTCCTCAGGTTCAGTCCCACATTCTAAGAGAGCAAGAGCCGGGCAGCTGTCCACTTGCCTTTTGAAAACGCTTCTCCCCCTGGGACTGGACTCACTATGGTTTCCCTTGTTCCTCTGGGGTCTGTGGGACTAGCTAATGGGTGGGGCATAGTTTTCCTTCCAGGGCTGGGGTGGGCAGCCCTACCTCCCTGACCCGCCCCCACCCTATCGGTCACCTTGACCACCAGCACATAGTCCTCAGGGGGCAGCTGGCTGAGCCTGTTCTTGAGGTCCAGCACGGCCTCCACCAGTGTCATGACATTGTGGTACACGGCGTCGTCGGTCCTGTCCAGGTTGGCTGTGGGCTGAATGGACTGAAAGGGAGGGGCGGTTGGCCAGCGGCCCATGGGGAGCCAGAAGGGTCCCCTATCACTATAATTCATTCCTGAGAATGTACAGATATCAACCCGTGTAAAGACCCCTGCTTTGCAACAGCCCTCTGTCCCTGGGGTAGAGCCCCCCTTTTTGCCCCTGGGATCATCGTTCTTCAATTGGGCGAGCCAAATAAAATATTGGTGTGTTAATAAAACACGCAGTCACACCAGCTCTGTCTAAACATCGTCTGGTCTTTGGGTCCACACTGTCTTAACATTTCTCAGACGATTTTTTCCAGTGGATAATAGGATGCTGGAATCTGGGGGAGAGCTCAGGAAGAGAAGAAGCCCTGATACTCCTGAGAACAGACTGGACCAATGAGACCTTTTCCCTGGCCAGGGAAGAGACCAGGAGCTAAAAAACTGGTCCCTTTTCTCATTTGTCATGAATTAGCTATGAGGCCTTAGGCAAGGTGCATCTGCTCTCTGGGACTTATCTCTGCAGCAATGATACTGGACTGGATTATCTCCAAGGGCCTCTGGACGTTTCAGGTCTATGGTTTTTGGTAGTTGTAACCCCAATACGTACCTGTGCACCGAGCCGTGGTGGCTTCTGTGGGGGCCCTGTGAACTCCACTACAAAAAGAAGGACAGGGAGTAGGTGAAGGTCTCTTAGTACCTCGTCTTTCTTTTTCTACTTTCTTATAATCAAACCAACTGCCCTTCTCTACCACCAGCAGATCCCAAGAGTATAAAACCCAAACTCCAGGAAGATGACCAAGGAAACAGCATCCCAGGGCTTCCTGACTTCCCAGTAGCCGGGGATAAGATCTGTCTATGGCATAGAAAGAAAAGGTCAAGGCAGGAGATAACGAATGCAGCAAGTGTGGAAGACTCCAAAGCTTGATGTGCTCCCTCTAAGATGGGCAAGAAGCCCACAGTCTGCAGACGGCAGCCTGTGTGGTCCACCCTGGCGCAGTGGCAGCTCAGGGAAGAGGGTTGATTTTCAGACTGCGTAATGGTGTGTCGTACTGTTGACTCTGCTCCGATGAGCAATGGCGCATACAACCTGGGGGAACTGTTGTGACAGGGAGCCAAGATGCCAGCCAGTAACCTTGCTTCTGATCTAACCATCATACAGGGGCTTACACCCCCCCCCACCCCAGTCTTAATTTTCTTCTGGAAAAGAAGCTCGTTGGCTCAGAAAGGACCTTTGAACCCAGAATGTCTGGTCTCAAATCCAAGCTGAGTTAATTAGTAAGTAGTTGGGTGGTATTAAACAGGTGGCTTCGTGGTCACAAGTCTCTGATTCATCTGTGACAGAAAGAGAGACTGTACCAGCCCCATAGTGCTGATAGAATACAAAGCGGGTTAACATTTGTGAGTGACTTCGGGCTGTGCTAAGTTCTTTGTGACTATTGTCACCACCACCACCACCACCACCAGCAGCAGCAGCTTTAGTAGAAGCTTCTGGAGAGGTCTTAGTGACTCTGAATCTTCCATCCCTCTGACCTGGAGAAGACTAGGGTCTGGGAAGTTAAGTCTAGACCTAATGAAGGGCTCCCCATAGGGTGAGTGGAAAACAGAAATG